GTTTCATAGAAATCTTTAATGACCTTTTAAACGGGTTCATCTAATATATTTTACATAATCCTGCATAACTATCATTTTGAGAGCTCTTTATTCTTTATCCAGGACCATACAGCAACTTCTCTTGCCTTCTGAATTATTCTCTTTGTTATTTCCTATATGCTGCTACTGGAGGTATTACAATATTTCGAGTTTGTGTAACTGAAAAATATTTTACTTTTAGTTTTCAAAGGTATATTTGCTAAGTATAAAATTCAAAGAGGACAGATCTTTTTTTTTTCTTTCAGTCTTTTAAATTAATTAGTCTAGTTTCTTACATACTTGGTCTGTTTTTTCTTTCTAATGTGAAATAAGATGCTATTTAATTTTGTCCTTCCATAGCTAGTATTTTTTATGTATATGCTTTAATGATTTTTTTCTTTACAATAAGTTTTGGACAGTTTCATTTTTGTGTATCTTGGTATGATTTTATTCAAATTTCTTGTGCAAATGGTTCATTTTTCTTGGAAATGTGGTATAAGTTCAACTAAATTCCGAAATTTTAAACCTTTAAATATTTATTGCTTACCCTTTCTACTTTGAGAATCCTAATTATATGAATATAAGTTTCTTGATTTTGACACAGAGTGAACTATTACATGACTAATCTGTAAATTCTTCTTCATTTTTATTTTGGACAATTTTTATTGTTGTATTCATTTAAGTTTTTAAATTTATTTACAATGTGCAATCTATTAATCTCATGCTATGTATTCATTTCAGAAATATTTCTCTAAAATTTACTCTGTCTACATATTATATCTTTCACATTTAAATTTTGGTCTACAATTTTAATATGCTATGTAATTATTGAATTTCAATAAATTTAATAAAAATAAATATTCAGTTTCTGTTACACTGCCAGTGCTAGGGATGCAGTGCCCTTTCTGGGGGCACAGATATGCATAGTAGCTCCCTGCGGTAGTTTATAGAGAAAATTTCCAACAAATGAACAGAGCCCGTAGTCTCTAAGATAATCATTCAGTTAGCGAAAGGTCGGCTGAAGAGCTCTGCAACAGCTTTATCAACGCATCTTCTTAACACAGAGACATGGGCTATTTCTGAAAATTCTAATTGTTTTAAGAGTTGAAAGCATCTATAATATGAGGTACAGGATCTCAGGCTAAATTCTGAGGGGATTTGACTGACCTTATCAGATCCAAAAGCTACAACTCTTGTTGCATAGGTCCTGCTTTACCTTGGTCTTAACCATCCAGCAGAAGAGTATAAAATGAAATATAAGAAGTAAAGCCATGCTGTTATGTTGAGCTGTAGGGGACTCAGGTCAACAATTTCTGACACTGCCAGTAAAGAGGAAGCCCCAGTACTATTATGGACTACTGGACTCTTGGAGAATATTTTGCTGAGTTCATACACCTATAATATTCAAATGATGGAACTAAATGAAAAACGGGATACAGGTAAATGTCCATTTTGTATCTGTGTATTCAAAGTGGTTAGGATAGATCTATAGTTACATTCTCTTAATGAATAGAGGGATTTGTTCTAATAGTGCTTGTAAATAGGATATCATGTCCGCATCTTGTACAGCAAATAACCATTAAGAAGAGAGTATGCGATGTGTTAATTATTGAAACTGTCCTACCAATATGATTTGGATTTTTTTTTTTTTTTTTTCGAATGCCTTCAGGGCACTTTTGGCTGACTGGAGGGTTGTGGGGATCGAACTACAACCACCTGAGGCTGACAGCTTTGTGGAAGCAGCCACTTAAAGAACTGAGCTAGGGCCAGGCCCCCCCTACCAATATGATTTGAAACTGTCTCATTGCTATTTGTTTCTCAATACAGTTATGGGGAAAAAAAATAAAAAAGAGTTGAAAGGAAAACTTACTCAGAGCATTGACCTGTGGTTAGGACTGATTCTCCTGGGTGCTTTAGAGGAGAGGAAGTTGGAGGGGGGCTGCCTGAGTTGCAGTTCGACCGGGGCCCTCCAGGTTGGTGCGTCTTGTGCACTTGACAGAGCTGTAACCACTCATTCTGTGCCCGATGGTTAGTGGTGTGGCCTGAAAGGAACATTTTAAGAACATGTCCAGTGAAAAATCATTGTAATAAGGCTAACTCAAGAGCCTAAGGGAATTGTTAGATGATTTTAATTAGAGGAGAGCTCAACTTTCAATTTGAAAATTTCATCTGGATCTTGGGTGGAGAATAAATGAGGGAAGAAACAAGAGTGGAAGCAGGAATCACAGTGAATGGGAATATGTAACAGTTCAGGAAAGAGGACGTGAAAGCTGAGATGAAGATGAAGAAAATAATACACATTGGAGAAGTATTTCCTGTGTAGAATGGACCATCAGTTAGAGAGTATTTTGGTGTTATGGAGATATTCTAATTATTCACTTTTATTTGGACAAGGTGATTTAACCTAAAAGCATATTATGTACACCGACAACTGTGAAGAAAAAGCCCCGCTCATCTTCTCTGTTGTCAGAGGGCTGACTTTTGAAATACCTGGAAAGCATGTAATCTTCCCACAGTATGGTTTTGGTTTTTTAAATGTGAAAACCTTCAGCAATGAAAATGACATTTTATAGGGAGGTTTGACATTTAGCAGAGATGGGATATTAAAATAGCAAAGTGTTTTATTTATAAAGTTTGATAATCTAGATGCAGTCATATTTTGTATTCATGAAATAGTCAATTTAACATTTTTAATGAATATTGAAAGTGTTGGTTGTGTTAAAAGTCTAGTATCTTGTCTTATATTACTGTATTTTAAATTAATAGCTATTGCATTAATTGTATTATTAGTTTTTGTGCAAAATTGGAAAGATTTCCATCATTAGGTATGATTTCATCAAAATGACTTCGTGCATGGCATTTTGGTCATTTTTAAAAATAAATATGTGTTTCAAAAAGGGTAGCTCTGAGAATGGGTGTGTGCGCCTGTAATCCCAGCTCTTGGGAGGCTATAAACAGGCAGATCACTACGAGTCTGATCTAGTAGTGAGACCCTGAACACCCTGTAGGCCCTTCCCTAAAATACAAAAAACAAAAAGGGTAGCTTTATTTTTATTTGCCTGACATCAAAAGTTAGGTTTGATGAATTAAATGACTATTTTTCATTTCATGAAAGTTTAATTAATAGATGAAAAAAAAGGAACAGTATGGCTAATATATATTAAGGATATCTTTTAGTTTGTTACTTGTCTTGAGGTTCTTTTCTGTGAATTATGAGGTGATTTATTAGTCCAACACAATAATTCTATCATAATTGAATCTAAAGACTTATCTTTTAGTATTGTTGCTTTGTTTTAAACTATCTGATTTTTTGAATGAATAGCTTTCATTTCTTTGACACAAATTATATGAGGGCATTCTCTTAAGGACAGAAAATAATATATGGATACAGAAATGTAATTAGTATTGCAATAAAATTGAAAATTTACATTTCCATGCACAGTGTTCAATAGTCAGGCTTTGGCTTCTAATTCTTAGATCAACTTGAGGTCCTATCTCAGTATTAAATACTTTGAGTTGCTTTTACATCTTTTATGTGGTTGTCCAGATAAAGGTATATGCGGTGGCAAACGTCTTTGTGTATATATGCACTTCTGTCTGCTTATAGCCACTTTCACAGGACCTTACCTATAAATGGAAGCCCCTCTCCTAAACTGCAGCAATATTACAGAATTTAGTGCCATAAGGCTGACTTTATATACCTTAATGTCAGAATTTTTCCCATTCCTGTTTGTAAAATTTTTTTGCGAGTTGAGGCTTTTTCATGGATGCCCCGAGTGCTCCCTCTTACTGTGTCTAGACCCCATTTTTCTTTAGTTCTAAACCCAGTGACACCCCACTCCTTGGAAGCTGTGCCTTTCCCTCACAGCTACACAGAACATCAGCTTTCGGCATACTTTCCTGTTGGAAATCTACGAGGTGCTTCTGGACACCTCCCTGCCTTCCAGGCTGCTGCCAGGCCCGTGTTGCGTTTAGCGCTGATGCCTGTCTGGTGTTTGGCCTTTGGTGTTCTTACTATCTCTCCTCTGCTTTCAGTTAACTGCCAGGACTTTGCCTGCTGTGCAGTCAGATGAGCGACTCCAGCCTCTGCTCAACCACCTTAGGTAAGAGAAAAGAACGACGTGATGGTGCTGTAAAGTGCGAGTAAAGTGTGTGCAGTGGTTGAGACTCCTTCAGTGACGGAAAGCTTTAAATCTTTTTTCTTAAATGGTGTTATTCCAATTGAAGTATTGATGTTCTCAGTATAATATATGGTACTTGTGACCCTTGACTTAGGATATCGTGCAGGGTACTCTTTTAATTTGATAAAAATGTATAGAGCTATGCAAAATAAATTAAGTTAAAATGAGTGGAGATGACTACAGAAAGATCTAAAATGAATGTGTGATTTCCTAAAACATAAGGCTAAGGCTTTTTTTTTGTCCTTGTGGAACTGGGGATTGAACCCAGGCCCTTATTCCACTGAGCCATCTCCCTGGCCCCTCTAAGACATATTTTTGTTGGTTATTGAAATGGCAGGATCTTTTTAAAAAAATACAAATAGGATATAGCCTCATTATTTAATAAAATAACTTAGAAAATATAAGAAAGGAAAAACCCACTGTTACTGCCAATTTTCTCCCTTCTGTGCTGTTTTCAAACATAGTTTTGAAGTTGTACTTTTATATAATTTACTATTTTTTCATTTTTAAAATAAGCATTTTAAGATTTTTTTTCTCATTAAAATCATTCTAAGAACATTTTTAGTGGTATATGATATTTCCTTGTATGGTTGTACTGTAGTATATTTGTCACCCTTTTGGAGGCATTTAGACAGCATTTAGGCCATTCCTAGTTTTTCCCTACTGTAAATAATACTGTATGTAAACATTGGTATTTCAGGTAATTAGGATAGAGTTTTTAGAAATGGAATTACTTTGTCAAAGTATGAATCATGTTAAAGAATCTATATCTACCTATCTATCAAATTTTGTCCTATTTATAGGCTTCTTTTGTACATGACTGTCCATATTAGGAGACCCTAAAAGAGACAAGGTAGCCAAACAGAGTTGTTAATTCAATCGGTTAATCAGAGATTCCTATTGTGATCATACACATTTCAGTTATTAAGAATGATGTTTAGACATCTTAGTCCTTTTATTGTGAGATCAGTGATCCATTTTCCTCATTTATTTACTGATAGTGTTTCCTGCTTTTACTTGGTCTTTGTGCTTTAGATGTAAAGGATAGTAACTCTTTGTTGTATGTGCTATAGATTTAAAGTTTTTAATGCTTTATTATTCAACATAGTTGTATTGTCAAATGCTATATAGTCAGGTACCATTTTCCTTTATAATTTCTTCTTATTTTTAAACTTAGAATATCACCTCTCATTCAGAAGTTTGGGTAGATGTTATGTCCATGATTTAGTTTTATTTGTCCTTTTGTTCTTCTGCTTCTTTCTTTCTTTCTTTCTTTCTTTCTTTCTTTCTTTCTTTCTTTCTTCAGTAACTTTTTTTTTTTTCACAGTCTCAGTGTGTCCCAGTGGCAGGGCTGGCACAGCACACTGAGGAATGAATCTCAGTCCCTACATCTGCCTAAGCAGGTACTTTAGTCGGCTGAGCTATTGGCTGGCTCTTCTTGAGTAACTTTCTATTCCCAGGCATACGTCTTTTAAAAAAACTATGTATTTGGTACAGGATCTCACTATGTAGCTCAGACTCATAGTGATTCTTCTGACTCACTCAGCTTCCCCAGCACAGGGATTACAGGCACATGCCACGACGTCTGGCTTCAGTGGCCAGCATGACACACCTGACTTTGGGAGCAGGCATGGCATGCAGTATCGGGGATCGAACCTGGGTCCTTGTGCTTACCAGGCAGGTGCTTAGACAGCCGAGCATCTCCCCAGCCCCCCACCCACCTGATATGTCTAACCTCTATATGATTGTTTTGTTGGGATAACAGAGAGAAAGGAAGAATGGAAAACTGATATTTCAGTGCAGACTGAGTAACGTGCATATTAGGTGAAGTGTTTTAGTTCCCTAGCTGTGGTAGTGTGTTAAGAAACCCAGAGGTCATGTTTGAGTCTCTTGTTTAAACCCTTTCCTACTCATGCAAATCTGTTGGTGATTTAGTCTCCAGAGTTTTCTCTTATTGTAGTAGCCTCTTGTCTTTTCTTGAAGCTTGCTTTGTCCTTCCTAATGTTTCCTGTCATCACCATTAGTCATCAGTTAAACACTTTCTCTGCCTCTCCATTTTCATTCAGGATGAAGCCTGAACTACCAGGTCCTGACCTGTCTGTCTCTTAGGACTACTCTTTCAGTATGAGGCCCCTCAATTCAGTTTCGCCATGTGTCATGAAATTCCTCTGATGTAACTTGCTTTTGCTTGCTAACCTGTGTGCCCTTGCACATATTTTTCCTCTTGCTGCTTCTAGTCAGGCATATGAATTTAAATACATGTATAGTTTTTATTTGTATATGTTTGCAGTACATGATAATTGCATTCACCCTCGGGAATTGGTACATATCCATGTCATATCTCAGTCATTTTTACTTTCCTCTACCTCCTCTTCTGTTCCCTCTTCCCCCAGATCCCATTCCCACCTCCACAAAGTCTACCTCTCTGTTTCCTACCATATCTCTTGTGGGAGTAAGATGGGTTCTCACTGTTGATTTGATTTGCATTTCTCTAATGACCAAAGGTGCTGAAGATCTTTTTTGTATTTATTGGCCATTTGTGTATTTCTTCCTTTGAGAGGTATCTGCTCATTGTAATTGCTCATTTTTGTTAGGTTTTTTAATTGGGGGTGGTCCAGTTCTGTGGATTCTTTATATATTCTAGGTATTGTTTGCTGAAGAGTAACTGGTAAAATTTTTTTTTTCCATTTGGTAGATTGTCTTTTCACTCTTTTAGGGCAGTTGGGGCTCTGTTCAGAAAGTCCTTGCCAGTGCCTGTGTCTTCGAGACATTTACCTGGTTTTTTCTTTTAACAGATTCAGTGTTTCTATTTAAAGTCTAGTCTTTCATCCAATTTGATTTTAGTACAGATAGATGAGAGATAAGGGTCTAGATTTATTCTTCTGCATGTGGGTAACCAGTTTTCTCAGGACCACACAGGCTATCTTTTTCCTAGGGTACATTATTGACCCCTTTGTCAAAAATCAGGTGGCTGAAAGTGCATGGGATTGTTGTCTCTGTGTCCTCAATCGTATTGATGAACATGTCCGTTTTTGTGCCAGCGCCATGCTGATTTTAACTGCTGAAGTTTTGTAGTGTAATTTGAAACCCGGGATTGTGATGCCCTCTGTCCTTTGCTCTTTTTTTTCTCCCTCAGCAGTGTTTTGGCCATTCTGGATCTCTTCTGATTCTATATACATTTTAGAATATTTTTCCAGTTCTATAAAAATCTGTATTGGTGTTTTGATGGGAATTGCATTAAATCTATTTATAATTTGTCAGTATGACCATTTTGACAATATTGATTTTGAGTATCCAGGAAAGGGAGCATGTCTTTCCACTTTCTGATGTCCTCTTTATGAGTTTTGTTGAATGAATAAATACAAGTTGTCAGCAATATTTTCTGCATAAAGTTTTATAAACCTTATTGTCAGGATTTTCCTGTAAACCACTAGTTCAAAAGATACACTAAAAGGATCAGATTTTGCCTCTAGTTAATGCTTGATTCTGTGAGCTAATGATGGTTTCTCTTTCCTCCATCCCAGCATGGTAATTTTCAACTAGAATTTACATTAACTACTGACATCTCTTTGAGTCCTTGAAACTTACAGGAACTGTACATTTGTTTAGGGGTTTTATTCTCTGCAGTTCACTTGCAATTGGTTGCTAGGCAACCAGGACTAGATGCTACGTGTAATATGCCCCGAGTTGCTCTCTTGTTGAGCCAAATTGTTTCTCATTTTTATTGCAGTGTCAGAGACATCTGTACGTAGGGTGGCAGCTGATTTGCAAAGTTGGACACTTCCTGTCCTACCAAGTGACCTTGTGCTATGCCTTTCAGGCATGTTCAGTTGTCACTTTGGCTGTCTAAGTGCAGTGCTTTTCTTTTATCTTTATTTTTTTTTAATGTCACAATAGGAAATAATATTACTGGGTTAGAGAGATCTAATGCTAATCTTGTTAGGAAAAAATAATTATAATTGATTAACATGAACTACATAATTTAAATGTTACCTAGTAGGGAAGGACACTAGCAGGTTGAGACTGAGATCATTATTAGGTCTAATTTTGTTTAGTGTCTCTAATGATCAAAGAGGAATGGTGATTAACATTTTAATTAAATTTGTCAATAAAACTATAC